ACACACACACACACACACACACACACACACACACACACACACACACACACACACACACACACACACACAAGCAACACCAACAGTGCCTTCACTTTCAGGTGATAATTATAGAAAAGGTCGACACATTTCAAGAGTATTAATCTCTGCTGGAATGCAAACTTAAAAAAATATCGCTCTTATTTCAGAATCAAATTGAGCTATTTGCATGACACTAATAACATCTCTAGCTAAATACAAACTATTCGAGTCAAAATTAAATGCTCTAAATAAAAGTAATTAAAAAGATGGAATCAATCAAAAGAAAACCAAATTGCACTGCGTAACATTTGAACTCTGCTTATGTTTTTGTTGCAGCCGACATGCAGACGTTCAGCAGTCTCACAAAGAAAACCAACAGAAAGAAATAAACAGGCTGAGGAAAGTCATGATGATGATCGTCCATCAGTCCCAGGTTTAGCCCAGGCTGTCAGCTGAGCTTTGTTGTTGGCTGTTAGGCTGAGACATGCGTGGGCACGAAGACCTCCTTTCCTCTAATTTACTTCTGTTCAACTTTGTCTAATGTGTTCCCATCAACAGGATGTGCAGGAGCCATTTGTCATGGTTGGCCCCCAGCTCGGACTGTTAAAGGCTCCATCCATCACCGAGAGAAATCTCAGTTACAAAGAGCTTCCAGCTGAATGGGCCCTGGTGTGAGGGACGGGACAGGCCATTAATATCACCCGCCGCTGAAAAGAGAAGGTGGATGATAATGTTGGGCTGTGTGTGTGTCTGTTAGCAAAATACCTCATGAACTTTTGGGACAATTCAAATGATTTGTTTCAGAAAAGAGTCATTAGATGGACATAAACACACACCAAAAAATGGCTATTACTCAGTGAGTCTTAGAGATATTGATGTGGTAGTATCTGAGAGTCAATAACAACACATACACTGACTGCTACCAGATCATAAGAGATTGTGTGAGATCTCACAATGTTGCATAAAATTGAGCATTATGCTGTTTCTGAGGTTTAACCGAACGGTTTAGTCACATGAAAGTTGGCTGGTATTATGCATTCATTCAAAGAATGACTTTAATTTACTATGACTTTATTTAATTATTTAAATGTTTAGAAGCTGGAATGTTCAAGAGTTAAATTAATGAATTTTATGTAAAATTCCATACAATAGGGTTTAGAATCTGTGGGATCTTCAACGCTCAGTACTGGACATCCTCCCAGTCACTGCAGCACCAGGTCCAACTCTTTGACAAATAGTTTCTTCTAAAGGACCACAGGGTTTTCTGTCTTCAGTGAGTCCAGGTGAGAGACCTGGGGTCTCAGAGACAGGCTGAGTGGCACAGAGCTCAGAAAAACAAAAAGTGGGGATGGGAGGTGTGGGTGCTGCTTATTACCCACCAGACTGCAACATTTAGGGGCAACTGAAGGAGGAAAGCGTTAGCAGCTAACAGAAGGGGAGTGAAGGGGGCGGCGAGGTGACTGGCCAATAAGAGCGCAGCTTAGTGGGAAGGGAGATGGGCAGGCACAACTTTGATCAGCATGAATCCAACACTGTACCTAGATGATCAACTCATTTTTGTAGAAAAAACAGAAGGCAATTAAAGGCCTGCCACTCCTCAAAGAAATGCACCCGCCACTTTCCTTGCCATCGTTTTAGACTGAAATCATCATATGATGAAAAATGACAGTTGCAAATGTTTAGTCAAAATGTGAAAATGAGATTGTGAGTGATCTGATCTCACCCCTTCTCAGAGGGTGTGATGTGGATGACTCTTAGCTATTACCACACTGAATCTTAACGTAACATCCAGCATGTAAAACTGACCGTGTTAAAACCGTTTTTTGCTGGTTAAAGTCAATCAACTGTTGGGGTCAGGTTAAACTGACACTAAAATTTAATAAGTTGTAGATGTACATCCTGATGATTACTTTGTGTAAGTTAAATTAAAATCTATCCAGTTATTCATCAGATGTTTTGCTAACAGACAGGGTTTACTTTGTTTACTCATTCAGTTTACTTCTCTTCTCTGATTCTTACTGGCCTACAGAGTCTGAGATGGAGCACAATTCCCTGAGTATGGTCTGACCATGGGGTGAATTTGTAGGGACGTCCACTTCTGGGATGATTGACAGCTGTCTTAAATGTTTTCCACATGAGAATAATATTCCTCTCTGCAGATTGACAGCCTTCTCATTAATCGTTTTTTGATTAATGGGCAGCAACGGTTGCTTTTAGTCATTGCTGATGTCCTTTCATCTCGTCATTGTGTTTACACACATCTGTATACTTCAGAGCAGCGAACTGACAAAACTCCCATTTTTATAGAGGCAACCACACTGATGTTGGTCAGTTCATTAAAACATTTGATCAGCAGCACCTGGCTGTAAAGCGAGTCACTGTGTAGACACGAGTCTCATGTCCTTGTGTCTTCAGAGAATGAAACTCACCGCGAGGACAGAGAGCAGCTGGTCCATCGGCAGCTCAGCCTTCAGTCGCTCCTTAAACATCCGAACAGTCTGATGTTTCAGGTAGTAAAAAGATGAAATGCGACCATATGTCAGTGGCTCAATGGTACGGTCATCCTGGATCATCGATACAAAAAAATGTTATTAAACAAATGTGTGGTACAAGCAACCAATAAAACGTACAGAAACACACGCACGCACGCACGCACGCACGCACGCACGCACACACACACACACCTCTTTGATCTCAATGCAGTTAGAGCACTCCAGGTCTCGCAAGCTCCTCTCCACCAAGCTGGACAGATACTTGTTTATGGACTCATGGCTGATGTCTTCTAGACTGTAGTAGCTGAGAAACACAGAACAGACTCTGTAAAAATGAAAACATGTAACAAACTGGGCCAAAACTCTGACAGTTAGCACCAAGCTACTTTTGACGTTTAACGTGAACCCAGAGCAACATGAGCTCCAGTTGGGTAAAACAGAAAGTCTGGAACAGTTGAATATATGAAAACACCAACAGTCATCTTGTCCTGTTTTAGTTGTGAATAAACTCCACACTCTCCGGTTTTGAACGAGAAAGCTCAGGGAACTGTACCGATTACAAAGAAGTAAAATTGGGGTTGTCCTCAACATCTGTCCTCAGAACACTAGCTAAAACCTAAAAAAAAAACCCACTTGCTAAAAGCAATGGATCTAGAGATGGAAATTTGCCAAATGTGTTTAATCTCACTTGTTTACAAAAATATTCATCAGTATGTCTAGTCCCATTTAAAGAAAATTAAAAATACCAGTAATGCTAGTTGAAGGTGTCAACTTATGAAAATTTTGTCCAACACAAAAGACGTCTACGTTGAAGATGACATAAAAAAATCTACTTGAATCCTCTTTTGGACGCATACATGTTGAAATGCTAACAAGTTGAACAAATATAAACCTTTAATGAGTAAATTATTCATAATAAAAATTTCACAAGCCAACATACGTTTATAATGTTACAGGGTCTTCAAAACCTTAAAAAATAAAAGTAGTCAAAAATAGGCAAAAATTATACTGATTCTACCTTTACTCTTTAACAATTTGCAAATTAATTATATTTCTGTAAAGAACATTTTATCAGAAACCTTCAAGCTTGACATTATATCTGTAGTTCTTCCCCCAAATTTCTAGCTCTACTGAAATTCTTTAATCTTTGAAGTGTTTCTGCAACCCCTCTGCTAAATGACAGGTGTGATTTCTTCATTATTTAAAAATATTTTTAACCTCATTCATCTTTCCATTGCGTTGAAAACTTTATGAGTGACAGATTTTGGAACTGTTGATTTCAAATGATGTTTGGAGGGGAAGGTTTTAAAGAGGGTACACAGATCTTCAATCTGTCCAAGGCACAGTTTCATGCGTTGTCGAATCCTACATCAAGCTCACTAAAGCCAGGTTCACAAAAACATTTAACACAGTGTTCTCTTTGAACGATGCTAATAGACCACAGCAAATTCTTTTCAGATGTTTTAGAGCTGTCTCTCCATGACGAGATTCTGTCTGAACTGTTTCTTACTTTATATAATGTAACTGGAGAGGATATCGCTCCACCCTGCTTGGAGTATGGCCTACGTCAATTGATCTTTCTTTGGCTACAAAGGACTTACACGCATTCACAATTCTGCTGGCCTGTAAAAAATCTGCAGCTTCAACTACATGTACAGTATTAGCTGGATTAGATGCAATTTATTTTCTTAAAACAAATGAATGACTAAATGAATAAATATCAGACTGACTGGCCAGTAAGGCTGTATCATTTGAAAAAAAAAAAAAAAACAACAAACAAACCTGGAATCCCTTTTTTGTCCTATTTATTATGTAAAACAGACTAAAATGAAAAAGCTTTGCTGAAGCAGATTAAGATTTTTTTTGAGGAAATTAAGAGATTTAATTTCTATGGGTAATTTATCTGTAAATAAAGTTAAATAGTTTATAAAAGTAAAATAGGTACTAAAATAGTACCATCTCCTGAATGAGCTGAATAATGTTTTGATATACAAATGATTAAAGGTAGTTAGTGAACAAAATGTATGCCAGAAAAAAAGGAAAACCATATGAATGTTGCATCAGCATTCACATTATTACAAATAATGTTAACAAACAAACAAACAAACAAAAAACAGTTGCAGAGTAAAAGCAGCTTACAATCCTGTGGAGAAGGAACCAGCCAACCCCTGTTAGAAAATTAGTCCCAGAGTAGCGTATTATTACCCGAGACCAAAATGGGTTCCATGTTCAGCTATACATAGTAAGAGTTACCACATGAAACCTTGCTGAAGAGTAATCAAATACAATCTTCATTAACAAAAAAAAAAAAAGCTAACATTAGTATGCAGTGTCTAAAAGGCTAATAAGCATGGACCAGACATGAGTCTTTAAAGTTGGTTGAAACAGCTGCTAAAAGCATGTTTGTCAGAGCAAATGTCTATGTACATTTCACTATTAGTGACATAAAACACATATTCAAAAAAGATCTGAACTGTTTACTCCTGAGGGTTTTTATGCAGTATGAGGCCCTGTGATGAGTCTGTCCAATGTCTATTTTTTAAGTAACCAATCCATAGGAAACCCAAGAGTTACAAATATTTCACATAAGGTACAAATTCATAATTTATTTTTAAAAGTCAAACATATAGATAAAATGTATACAAGTTTTGTTGTCATTCTTTGCACAGTTTTATTTTGGTCGTTTGGACTTTAACAACTGTTAAGTTTGAAAACTTAAAAGTCTTTAGCAGTGATAAAACATGATATACACTGTAAATTTACAACTAAACATTTATAAAGTGGATATAAAAAAGTGTATACACCGATGTTAAATTCCAGGTTTTTGTGATGTAAAAAAGATAAACCATTTCAGTATTTTTCTAAGCTATAATTTGTACAAGTCATTTGGAAAAAAAGTTTTAAGGGGACAAAAAAAAAATCTCAAATAGAATGGTTCCATAGATGTGTGGGTTTTCTACTGGGGCCTTAGCCAAGTTGGAAGGAATTGTGAACAGTCTTAAACACCAGTCAATCTTGGCACAAAACCTTCAGGCTTCTGCTAGAAAGCTGAAAATGAAGAGAAACTTTGTCTTTCTGAACAATGACCCAAAGCATAAATCCAAATCAACAAAAAATGGCTTCAAGAAGAAGATCAAAGTTTTTTAATGGCCCAGCAAGAGTCCAGACCTTAATTCCATAGAAAATCTGTGGTATGATCTGAGGAGGACTGTGCACAAGAGATGCCCCAAGAATCTGACAGATTTGGAGTGTTTTTGCAAAGATGAGGCAAATATTGCTAAATCAAGATGTGCCAAGCTGGTAGAATCCTACCCAAAAATACTGTGCTGTAAGAAAGTCTAAAGGTGCTTCAACAAAGTATTAGTTTAAGGGTGTGCTCACTTAAAACTGCACTTTGAAGCTGAAACTTCCCCCAAAACCAGTGTTTGCTGGAAGAAAACTAAGACCTGAGATATCAAGAAGCTGAAATAAAATTCAAATACTTTTTACTTCAGCTACAAAAAATCCTGGTGTGAGTTGAAGCTGATTGCTTGACGATGTCAACAGGAGCCTTGTCTGCAGTAATGGAGGCATTGCGTCAATCTTGTCGTGGCGAAAAGGGAGCTGAGCTAAAAGGCATAGCTTTGAATTTACTGATACATCTACACACATGGACAAAATTGTTGGTACCCCTCAAAGAAAAACCCACAATGGTCACAGAAATAACTAAAAGTTGACAAAAGTACTAATAAATAAAGGTTCTATGAAAATGAACAAATGAAAGTCAGACATTGCTTTTCAGCCATGCTTCAACAGATTTTTTATTTTTTTATTTATTTTTTTTAATAAAACTCATGAAACAGGGCTGGACAGAAATGATGATACCCCTGAAAATAATGTGACTAAAGGGTCATGTTTAATCAAGCTGTGTCCATTAATTAGCATCACAGGTGTCTACAATCTTTTAATCAGTCAGTGGGCCTGTAGGTTACAGATACTCACTGTGCTGTTTGGTGATGTGGTGTGTACCACACTCAACGTGGACCAGAGGAAGTGAAGGAAAGAGTTGTCTCAGGAGATAAAGAAAATTCTAGACGAGCATGTTATGACAAATCAAAGAGATTGATAATACAAATGGTAATAAAAGAGCCCAGAAAAAATTCTAAAGAGATTCAAAGTGAACTTCAAGGAACATCAGTGTCAGATCAGCACCATCTGTCGTCGTTTGAGCCAATATGGACTTAATGGGAGATGAACAAGGACACCATTGTTGAAAACAAATCATAAAAAGTCCGATTGGACTTTGCCAAACTACATGTTGACAAGCCACAAAGCTTCAGGGAGAATGTCCTATGGACAGATGAGACAAAATGGAACTGACTCACAGTTCTATGTTCATAGAGGGAAAATGAAGCATGAAGACACACTGTCCCTACTGTGAAACATGGAGGGAGCTCTGTTATGATCTGGGGCTGCTTTACTGTATCTGGCACAGGGGGTCTTGAATCTGTGCAGGGTGCAAAAAAATCTCAAGACTATCAAGGGATTCTAGAAAGAAATGTGCTGCTCACTGTCAGAAAGCTTGGTCTCAGTCGCAGGTCATGGGTCTTGCAACAGGATAATGACCCAAAACCTAACTGAAAACACCCAAGAATGGCTGAGAGGAAAACATTGGACTATTCTGAAGTGGCCTTCTATGAGCCCTGATCTAAATCCTATTGAGCATCTTTGAAAGGAGCTGAAACATGCTGGCTAGAAAAGGCACCCTTCAAACCTGAGACAACTGGAGCAGTTTGCTCATGAGGAGTGGACCAACATACCTGCTGAGAGGTGCAGAAGTCTCACTGACAGTTACAGGAATCATTTGACTGCAGGGATTGCCTCAAAAGTTTGTTCAACAAATATTAAGTTAAGATACCATAATTTCTGTCCAGGCCTGTTTCATAAGTTTTATTTAAAAAAATGGTTAAGTGTGGTTGAAAAGCAATGTCTGACTTTCATTTGTTCATTTTCATCGAATTCTTATTCATTATTACTTTTGTCAGCTTCTAGTTATTTCTGTGACCATTATGGCTTTTTCTTTCATTATGTATGCTTTCAACATGTGGGGGTAGATTTAAATACTTTTCAAACCTGGTAAAGCCCAGAACATTTTTATCATGCCCTGATGCAGAATACCCCAGAATTAAAAGAAAAGGGGGACTTTCTTTTCCCCATGACCATAAAGTTTGAGAGTTATAGTCTTTCTTACATTTTCTTTTATGCTGTGGCTGTGAAATCAGGCTGTGACATTTCTTATAGGCATGGACGTGTTGAAAAAAAAAAGACATTTATGGTAAATGACTTGCAGTGCTTAACTTGAATACATAAATGAGGAATCCTGAAGTGTGTTTGTTTATTTGCTTGATTTAAAAAATAAGGATGGTGTATGTGTGTGTGTTGGGGGGGGGGGGGGTCACAGTGGTTAAATATGGGGTAAAAATTAAAACCAATAAGTCTTTAAACAGTTGAAAGTAGAATATTAAATGTGGGTCATTGTACACTTGTCTGCATAATGTGCTTCTGATAAATCATCCACTTACAAATGAACAAAGAATGTTTTCATGATGATTATAGGAAGTAATAAATGTTGCAGTTGGGAGAAGGGACAATAATCCCAGTCTTGTTGGACGGCTGGAAGCAGCAGCTGATTGGTGTGAGAGTGAGAATTAATGTGTGTTTAATGTTAAGTATTTCTCTGATTTCTACCGCCCCACAGACTCTTCTAAGGACCAAATGTGTTTATTATTGCACACATTTCACAGGTCTTTATCGATGCTGGGGTCTGTTTGATTAAGTCATGGCCATTAGTATCTGCAGCTTCTGATGGCACAGGGAGTCGGTGCCTAATGACACCCAGGGGACTCCATTGGTGTGCGTGTATGCATTATGTGAATTATGGCCTGAAGCAGTGGTAATATATTGCCTAAGGAGACATAAAACACAGCTGCACATAAAATGTAGATTTGTGAACATTAAAGGATAAAATCTAGGACAAAAAATGTCAATTCATGTAGTGGAAGCTTAACTTGCTGATTTACAGCTCTGTAACAAAGACCAAATATGCTCGTCATACTGGAACCAAATTTGTTTTGATTTAGGCCACTGTATTGAGTGTGGCTCAGCAACAGACAGGGGGCTTTACAGGGCTCATAGGAGAACCAGAACAAACTCAGACTGTAGTGGAAAATCATCTCTAAAGCTCCAGTTAAAACCTAAAACTGAGAATCCGAAGATGCTGATAATTATGGCCCCATTTGATTTGGGATCATCAGCCAGAAGGAAATCAATGAGCTGAAAGGACAGAACAAACAAACTTAATATTAGAATTACATGAATACATAGCCACAAAAACACAAGGTTTGCTTTTAAAAGGAGAGTATGTATTTTGTAGGCCAGGGGTGGGAAATCCTTGTCCTGGAGGGCCACAACCCTGCATATTTTACTTGTTTCCATTGCCCACCTCTGTTCTAGGCATATAGTTAAACTCTAGAGTAGATTAGCTATTACTTTATTGATCCTTTGGGAATATTCATTCAGTGAAATTTAAGAAGATTATATACCACAATATTCTATACCAGGGGTTCTTAATCTTTTTGACCTCGGGGCCCAATTTGTTCAACATAAAGTGACACGAGGCCCAGTCAGACATTACCATACGGATCAAAATGATAATTATTCTAAATCTTGGTTTAATTTATATTGTATTTGCATTATAACTAAATAAAATACACTTACAGTTTAAAAGTAAAACTCGTGTCAAATGATCACAAGACATGATTATGACAAACATTTTTATATTGTAACCTGCCCATAACAATTTTTTGAACAAATACAAAAGTCGGTCAACAGACCACTCAGGCTTATCAGCACAAAAACATTTTTTTTAACATAAACAACAACAAAACAGACAATTCAATAAATAAAATTGTGATCATAAAATAAATACATTAAAGAAAATGAATGTTCCAAATATAAAAAAACAGTAAAACTAAATTTGATAAAGTGCAAATGAAAATAAAGCCTTTGTAAACTTTTGTATAGTAGAACCAGAAGCTGCTCTTCATATTGGTGACAAACAATAACAGTAACAACAGCCTTTTGACAAAATGTTTAAAAATAAACTACAAAAATTAATTTGATAAAGTGCAAAGTAAAATATAGGCGTTCCTGCAACTGTATTTGATGTTTTGAACTTTTAAAATATTGCATGGTAGAACCAGAGGCTGCACTTTATATTAGTGACAAAATTTGGTGTTTTTTTGATGGGTTACCTTCATTTTTGCCTTCTATTTTTAATTTAAAATAAGTTTCCATTCTCGGCAGGTTTCTAAGGTTCTTCTTCTATGTATTAAAAAAGTTGTTAAACATCTGAGTGGCGCACTTCCGCTACTAGTGGTGAGAAAGTGTATTGCACCTTTTACAAAATCAATGTGGTCCTGTGGCCCTCTGCAGCCCAGAGTTAAAAACCGTTGTTCTTTTGAGGCCCTCAAGGTGGTGCTCGCGGCCAAGAATCTCTGTTCTATACCACAATCAAGTAACTATATTACCTTCAGTTGTTATTAAAATGCTGTTCATATCAAAAATAAATTTGACTTTGCATCATAGTCTATCTAAATGCCTTGAAATTGTCCTCTGTCTCTTTAAGAACCTCCTACCATTGCGAACACTCCCACTTCAGCACGTCTTCACAACATTGCTTCAAGAGAAGGCATGTTCTGTGAGGCAGGGGCTCGGCTGCAGACTGAGCTCCAGGGAGGAGCTAGGTACAAATAGGCGGAGCTTTGTACCAACATGTGTTTAGGCAGCTCCACGTGGCTACCACTGGAGGTTCAAGAATTTCTCAAACAAGCATGAATGAGTCAAAGCAACACAATATGTTTTTGATGAGGGAATGACATTACATGACATAAAGATTAAAAAAAAGATTTTGCGTAATACTCTCCATTACTTTAAACAGTTAACGGAATTCTGGCATTATGAGCAAATCTATTATCCACTATGAAGTTAAGGGTGAGATATTTTTGTTCCAGTTGCTTATTAAAATCTCATTTACAAAACATTCTGATGAGTTAGGTAAGTGAAGCTAAATTAGATGTAGGAAACAGTTAAACAACAGGTTTATTTAAGCCCTCTTCACCCTGCTATATGCACCATGACCTATTAGCCCACACATGGCCATGTTGTGGTCTGTGGGTCACATCCAGCCTGCTAGCTATCTCCATCCAGCCTACAAGAGGTTAAAAAAAATTCAGTAAGAAACAAGTTATGCATCCAAAAATATCTGCTTTTATTTTGAAACAGAGTTTCTATCCTTTTATTCTGAAGGCAAATGTGTGTTTATGTCAGCAGCGCTACAGTCATGCCACTCTACCTCTCAGTGAACCACTAGAGAGTCTGTAGTGCAAAGCTTTAAAATAAATCACTGACTCTGTAATTCAAACTCATTAACATTTAACATTTAGAATTAACCCAACTCAACTCTAACTCTGTTAGTTTGACAAATGGTGAGCTACATTTTATGTGAGTAGCTGCAGTATTCATTGACATAGTTTATTCAAGATGATCTTAGTCTAAAACTTTAACTTGAAAGGTGGCAGGTGATATATTCCTTCAAAGAATGTCAGGCCAATAATTCAGAAGAATTAAATGTTTTTATAATTCTTTAAGACCTGAAAACTTTGACATATTTGTTTTATCATCATTTGTTTTATACCAAAGCTAAATACGTATATTAAGAAACTGACTTGACCGAAACAAAGAGATTCAGTTTTAAAGCAGGATAAATTATTTATTTGACCCACATTGGCCGAAAGACAAGCAGAAATGCTACCTCAAGAGTCTACCAACAAAATCTAGAAGAAACCTTCAATTATTTTGGGAACCATTTGTGCTGGTGAGATAATGGGAATCCAAGATGATCAGTTTCAGGTTTTCTTGACCCCAGAATCAGTCAAGCAACAGTTAATGTGGGCTGACAGCCATGAAAATAGCCGGTTGGAAAGTTCAGTTTCTGTCTACAGAGCAGATGTTGGACAACAAGCTCAGGGTTCTCCTCTGATTGGGTTTGCACATAGGCCAAGAATGTGCTTGTTAGGTTTTGTTATTGCACACCTCTGAAAGGCAAAAGTTGAGCAATAATTTGCTAATATCTGTTTCACAGTTTGTAACAAAAAACTCACACAAACTACTTGTCATTTATAATGAAACTTTAACAATTTTTGTTGCGAATCGTCACTGCAGAAATAAACTTTGATTTTTTTTTTGTTCTGTAGGAGAAAATTGGAGCGCACTGTAAAAACTCACAGGAAAAACAAATCCACATAGAAATGTCAAAGACAGGAGGCAATCGTGACCTTCTTGCTGTGAGGAAACAGCTCTAACCACCGTGTTGCTGTGCCACCAGGATTGTTCTTAATGGAGCTATTTTGTGCTAGTTTGCTGCAGATTTGACTTGTTGAAATATGAGTGTGAGAACTTTTACCAACCTGGGATTCATCACCAGCCTTCTGAAGAAGTACGTCCAGGTGAGGTAGTCCAACGCATCCTGTTTGGATGAGATAGTTCCAGCAGTGATCTCAGCATTCAGATGGTCTGACAGCACACTGAGGAGACTGGAGATGAGAGACACAACACAGTGAACATACCAATGTGACTCATCAATTTATTGTTGACAACATTTTACAATACATTTCTTTAAGCCTTTGTAAAGCGTTGCCATGAACTACTGGAGTACAATCTGTTAGCAAAATATCTCATGAACCCATGGAAGAATTTTATTAAAAGTATCAGAAAATAATTAATGGACGTCTACGACTGATTTACTTTCTGGAACATCTAAACAGCTGTAACTCAAAAGAGTTTACAGATTTTATTCTAAAATTTGTTGTGACTGTAGCTTAGAGTCATTCACAACACAGAGCATGAGGGCGACTCATTGCACAAGCACTGCTTAAAACTTTAGAATTATTTGGAGTCAACTCTGTTTGTGTGTTAGTAAAATATCTCATAAATCACTACACAGATTTCAATCAAACTCGGATGTACAGCTACAACTGACTAACTTTTGGAGGCAATCCAATTCAAGATGGCTGTTACAATCATAGTCATTTCACATAAAAAATGGCTTTAACTAAATTTTTTGAATCAATTTTAGAGACATTAAGCTACAATTTTAAGTTCTACAACATTGTCATTTATCTACATAAGATGGTAATCTAAATTTAAAACTTTGGCATAAAAGGTGGCAGACGATATGGATCCCTTCAAGAAATGTTGTTTTATTTTTATTTTTTTACTGTAATGACAGAAATCAATGTCATTACTGAGCTGAACGAGGATGTGGAAGAGGTGGAAATGGTTCTGGTTTTTGCAGCACAATGGGGCGAATCCATAGAGCAGCCACACATCTGTTACCTGGATTCAACAGGGAAGGGCTCATAGAGGAACTTCTTGTAGAAATCCTTCTTGATGTCATGGACCAGAATAACAGCTTTGCCCTGGTCATCAAACTGAGGACGACCGGCTCTCCCCATCATTTGCAGGACATCTATGTGCACACGCAGGGTATTAATTTTACATCATTCTTTTCCAACAAATGTTCTTTTTAAAAATTTTTAATTGAGATTTTCTAATTAAAAAACAAACAAACAAACAAAAAAAGAAACACATACCGTAGCTCAGATCAAACAAAGGGGCATTAACAAAGCAAAATCTACATAAGTATCATATATAACCAGCCAGTCAGAAGACCTTAAGTAGTTGAGAGGCCACCTCTGGCCCAGTGCAATTTAGGTAAGGATCCCAGATTCAATAAAATACGTCCAGTGAGGAAATAAGCAAGGTTCTTTGTATAAAAATAAAAAATATCCTGCAGATGGAGCACTGGAGAGCAGCAATTTATAAAATACAGCAATAGATTTCTTACCATTATGAGGGCATAATACCTTTTGTAAAGTAGACAAACCATTATTCAACAACATCAACAACTGATTATTACTGACAGAGCAAAGACTTTCCTCATTTTTATTATGAAATGTTTAGATGCCCCCACAAAGACAAATTAAATTTCTTAAGAATGAGAATACCTGGAGACAGCGTACCTGTAATGGGGTAGTCCACGTAGCGTCTGGATTTACCATCATAGTATTCAGTTCCTTTGACAACCACTAGGTGAGCTGGAAAGTTTACTCCCCATGCCAGAGTACTGGTAGCAATCAGAACCTGTTGACATACAGTACATTGTTTTTTTTCTTTGAATGAAATATAAATTGTTGCAACAAAAGCATAAATGTAGGTTATAAAAAACATCAGAATGTACTAAAAAAGACTAGTTTTTAAATTCACTGTTAAATTCACATTTTTATCCAGTCACTGTGAAAAAAAAGTAACTTAGCTTTTCTCATATTATCTCTAGATTGGTATTTTGCAAGTTTTTTTTACTTTTAATTTTCAAAATGAATTAAAAATTACAAATAAACAAATGAGAACTTTACTAAAAGACTAAACGAGACTGCTGCATAAGCCTTTGATGAGCAATCAACATTTTTGATCCTTAACAATAATTAATCAATCACAGAAATGCATCAAACATGTGCTCCCCTCTAAAAGTAAGGAAGGAAGGAAAAAAGGAAGGAAGGAAGGAAATAAAGAATGAATCGCTGTCCATCTGTCATATTTTAGTTGAGGATTTTTGAGAAAAAGGGTTGAATGTACACATCATTCAAAATACGTGTTTAAAAACACATTATTTTCCTTCATTTTTACAATTACACACTACTATGTGTTGGTCTACAATATAAAAAAATGTAATACCAGTACTAAAAGAATATGACAATATTTAGGTTGTAAAAGAAAGTGATCAATGTAGACCAAGAAACACATCAAAGCTTCAAGACAGAGAACTGCCCAAACCACAGCTAAAGCAAAAGAAAAAAAAGGACAAAACCAAACATTACATTGTTTTAAGCAAATAGTTCCTCAATCCAGAAAACATAACCATAACCCATGATGATCAGAAGAAAACCAGGTTAGAGCTAAAGAGAAGCAGACAGATGAAAGTGATGTTTCAAACCAAATAACCTCCCAGTTGAGGTGAGCTCATATTTACTGTAGGTCTGGTGTAAAACTACGTTAAGTTGGCTTAAAGTTAAAGGGTGTGAGCTGCAGCAGAGGTGGAGTGAGCAGTCCGAGGTCTTACCTGGATCTTACAGTTGACAAACAGCTCCTCCGTGGTCTTTCTGTCTCTTTCATGAAGGCCCGCATGATGCATACCAATCCCAAAGGCCAGAGTTAGTTTCAGGTTAGAGTCCCTCACTGTGGCAATGATGGCCTCGATCTACAAACAAATTACAGTAACAGATCAGAAAATCCAATCTAGATCAAAATCAACTGAACAGATGAGATGGATTCTGACATTTTAGACCACAACAACTTCAAACAGGATGTTCTTAGGATGGTAGAAGTGGTTCATTGTTTCCAAGAAAAGAAAATCATCGTTATCTCAAAAATCAAAATGTGAACAGCACGGCATTATATTCTAAGAAAGAGGGTGTCTGCTGTATGACAAAATTTGTCCTGTTTATCAGAAACAACATCAAATAAAACAGTCATTTTCTATTTCTGTGAACACTCTATGGTTTCTCCAGAGACCTGTACGATTTCAGAACTCTTGAGTTAGAGTTAGACAAATGTTGACCTGTCCCGACCGATGACTGCAACACAGGAAGAAAACAGCACAGTCAAAAATAATTTTAAATTTCATTTAAAAATCTCATAATTGCTGAAAATCAGGCAGAAAAAAAAACTAACAAACAAAAAACACAAAACAACGCACAACAAGCTAAGTAATTAAGCAATTCATACAAGTGCTTTGCTGGATGGAGCTGGGCCAGCTAATCAGGATTGACATCATGAGATACAGTGGTTTGCAAAAGTATTCATACCCCTTGAACTTTTCCATATTTTGTCACATTACAACCACAAACATAAATATAT